TTCTTTGAAAATTTTCGCAAAAATGAAAAGTCATGCAACTATTTATAGAAAACAGACTTCGCCACAGCGAAGTTCTTAGTTCAATTGTATAACCAAGTTGATGCCGCAGCGAAAAATTACAGTGAGTACAGCACCGAGGTGAACTTTCCTTAGCTCATTCATGCAATGCAGCAGTTGCCGCGGCAAAGAAAATTTCTCACCGCGGCTAAAATTTCTAGTGAATACAACGCTGCGGCAAAGTCTAGAATTTCCTGAATCCATTTTTGGCAAAGTGTACAACACTGCAGCGAAAACTGGAGAATTTCGCTTTTTGCCACAATTTGATTATTCATCTGAAACACCAAAAACAACGAAATTAAACTAATTCCTAAGTTACAAAACAACTAAACAAATTCAAAACAACTAAACAAATTCAAAACAACAAACAAACAAATGAGAACACTTGGGTTGCCTCCCAAGAAGCACTTGTTTCTAGTCGAAAGCTCGACTTTCTCAAGTCCTTCGTCAATTCGGACTATCCAAATACATCACCTCCTGAACATTTTCCCTACACTGAAGCTTCAATTGTTGATGATTTTTGTCACATAAGGCCTTGGTTGAGAGCTTAACCACCCATTTCCATCCCTTGGTCATTCCTTTTAGGGTTCGAGCATTCTCATCAATAGCTTTCCATTTTTCTAGCTTTCCATTAACCTTTTTGAACTGAGAGATCCATCCCTTGTGAAGACACGAGCTCGATTATGGCCCATCTCGGAATGTTGTGTAACCTTCTAGGTTATGGTCTTCATCTTCGATGTGCCTTGACTTGACCATACATTCCTTAATTGGTGAATTAGGATCGTCAAGTTGGGAAGTTTCATTCGTTGACTGATCCACTGAGTCAATTTTAAAACATGAATCTTGCTTCGGTGGAACTTTTGGAGTCTCAAGAACATTGAATGTCACTACTTCCTCTTGCATCCTCATGATCAATGTAACACCCACATCAAGGTACGTAATTTTACTTATGCCCTAATACCCTTCATTGGATTTCTTTGAAGTCACCTTAGACAAATGTGAAGAAAATTCCTTAAAAGTTCATTAAGGGTAAAATAGTCTTTTCACTCAAAATTAATTGAAATTGTGGGGAGTGAAAAGAGATAGAATTTCATGGAGAATGCAATAAAAATGAGGGCATTATGGTAAATCATAGGATTTGGTCTAGATTTTTGGAGATTTTCAATCTTCAAGCATCCTAAGGTAAAATTCTAGCAAAAGGAGTGTGATTAAACTTTAAAGTTTTAAATTCTTATGGTTTTTATATGATTTAGGTCCAAGAGGAAGAGATTTGGAGACAAAGGGAAGTGATCTCACATATTCAAGGTAAGTAAACCTACTTTGAAACTTAATTTGAGCAAAACATGTGTTGAATGAATTTTTGCATGTTTGTATGTGATGGTATAAGAGAATTGTGGGATGTTTTGATGTTTATTGATGTATTAATTCTAGCCATAAGAAGTAGTGTATGGTTATGTAAAGATTTGGTGAAGTTGTGGAAGATTTGGTGTTGAAATTTTTGAAGTGTAGAGAATTATTGAAAATGGACAGGTTTGAGGCTATAATTAGTGAGTTTTTGGTTCACAATTTGGTTGAATTAGAGAGTTGTGGAAGTGTAGCCAACAAGGTAGTTGCATGTGCATATGAAGTGTTTGATGAAAATCCAAAGAGAAATTGCACGCATGAGTTGGCTAAACCCTAATGAGGAAAGGGTTAGAGAAAGGCAAGACTTGAAGTTTGAATGTATTTCATTGATCTTTTAACCTGTTTTCACAGGGGAGAATGGTTATGAAAGGTTAGGAAGTAAGTGGAGGTAAATAGGTATGGAAAAGCCTTAAAGTAGGCATGTTACCAAGGTTTCCCTGTCAAATCTGTGACTTTCTGAGTGATTTTTGGGCATCTTATCCATCAAACTGGGTTGAGTAGTAACATAAAAGTTGTAGCCCTTTCTATAATCTTTAAAATGAGACCAAGATCATAGCAATCGGAGGTGTATAACTCAAGATAGGCCTTCTTGAATATGACGTGTGTAGAATGAATATCTCAAAAGTGCTTCAACTTTATTAGTTTATTTGTAGTCTAATAATCTATAATTGATTGCAAGTATGAAAATGATGCTTAAAGGGTTGTGAAGCATGTTTGAATGAGTAGTCTTTATGATTATTTAATGATTGTATGAACATATATATTTGATGTAATGAATGACCATGGAGGCTATGTGTAATATGTTATATACCACCTAAGTATGAGCTTGTGCATGTATAAACAAGCCTAAGGATGATATATTTCTATGAATTTGTTATGCATCCACAAAATGGTCATGATAAAATGATATGTTCATATATGGAAAGTGTATGTTTTTTAAAGAATGCAAGTGTAGAATTTCCATAACTTGGAAATTCATGTTGAAATGTGCATAGTATCTCTTTCTATTCTCTTTCTATATTATGTTATGATATAAGGTTTTTGCGATGGGGAACCCGTGAGTGACAGAGATGCCCACATACACGCTGCCACAAGTGAGCAGCATCAACAGAGAGATACAGTATTTGTATAGTCCATGAGTAGTGTATGTGGATGAGGACTGTACCCAGCAGAGCATACCTACATGCACGCCGCCACAAGCGAGCGGCCACAGTAGAGAGATACCGTACTTGTACAGTCCGTGAGTAGTGCATGTAGATAAAGACTGTACCCACTCACATGGCCAGGGTTCCAAATCCATGCATCAACCTAGTCCAATCAGCAAACTAGAAAGAAAGAAAGAAAGAAAAGAAGGAGAATTAGAGAAGAAAAGAAGGAGATACAGCATAAGAGAAAGAGAAACAGAAAAGAAATGAAAGTTCTTTTCTCAAGAAAGTTTATTATTCTGCATATGTATTATACTACTTACATGATTCAGTATTTTTATGTGCTCGACGATGTACAGTTTTATTTATTGTCTTTGCACGTTGGTAAGTAGCAAATCAGAGTATCAGAAAAGAATGCAGAATAATAGAAAGGAATGAAGAATATTAGTAAAGAATAAAGTGAGAAAAGGAAAATCAGAACATGAGTAACGGAGGAAGAACAGTCATGCAATTTGGTTTGCTAACTGATCAATTAGTGCTCACTCCGTTATTTTACTATTTTGTAGGTACTAGATGATTTGCGACCAGGTGGGACGTCAAAAAGTAGAGGAGTTTGGCGGCACTGTTCAAGATTACCTTGTGCTTACTAAAGTATATCAGTATTTTGTGTATATATTTATATGAATTAAAATTAGAATTTTTTGGATTTTACATTATGTATATATGTTTATAAAAGTTATTTAGTGGATTTTATCATATATTTTTCAAAGAATTACTAGCTATACAGTGTATAACAATCAACTTCCCCTCTTGTACATCAATTAAGGCTCTTCTGGTAGCCAAAAATGGTCACCCCAAGATGAGAGGAATCTCCTTGTCTTCTTCCATATCCAACACAAAAAATCTGCCGGAAAAATGAATTTGTCCACCTTAACTAGTACATCTTCAACAATGCCCCTCAGATGCTTGATGGATCTATTTGCAAGCTGCAAGCATATGGTTGTCGACTTCACTTCACCAATTCCTAGTTTCCTGAAAATAGAAAAAGGGATAAGATTGATGCTTGTTCCTAAATCACATAAAACTCTATCAAATGTAATATTTCCTATAACACAAGGGATAGTAAAACTCCCTAGATCCTTGAGTTTCGGTGGCAGCTTCTTCTTTAGAATGGCACTGCACTCCTCCGTAAGCATCACTGTTTCCTCCTCCTCCAACTTCCTTTTGTTCGACAGAATTGCCTTAAGAAATTTTGTGTAGCTCGACATCTGCTGCAAGGCATCTTCAAAAGGAATGTTGATATGTATTTTTTAAAAGAAATTTAATGAACTACTTATCTTAATTTTCTTTTCTGAGCCTTTGAGGAAAAGGCACCGGAGGGGTGTGATGTGCCAACTCTGGTGGTATCTTAAGAAATGGCAATTTTTCTTTCTTTTGCCTTGGCCTCTCGTCCCTCTCCGGTTCTTTCTTTCAGAAGCTTATTGGCTTCTCTTCAGCCATGATTTCTTCATCAATGTCTTCATCAGATTCTTCCTCCGCTTTACTTGGTGGGTTCTCATCCTTCCCTTTTTTTTATCAACGTCTTCCAAAATTATTCCATTTCTCAAAGTTATTGCATTTAGTTGTTCTCATGGATTTGTCACTATGTTGCTTGGTAGAGAACCCTGTGGTCTCTCATTCAGCTTTCGGCTAATTGCTCCACCTGCACCTCCAAGTTTCGAATAGACGCCCCTTGATTTCTGAAAGTTTCCCTCATCTCACTTATGAAACATGTTGTCTCTTGCATGAATTTCCCTAACATATCCTCCAATTTTGACAATCTCTGTCCCCTGGTTGATTATTCACCCCTACTTGATTTTTTGGCACTGTTCTTTGATTCCATTGGTTATTCTGCTGATTCTGCTGGTTCTGATTACCCCAAGACAAGTTTGGATGATTTATCCAACCAGGATTGTATGTGTTGGAATAAGGATTGTTCTGTTGTCTTTGATTCCCTGCCAAGTAGTTAACTTGTTCCGATGATGATGAAGTTGAAGCTGAAACGAAGGTGTTCCCTATTTGACATTCATTGCTCACATGATTACCTACACAAAAATCACAAGTCAGTTGAGGTGCTTGAATAGATTCACTTGCATACCTCCCAATTGCTTCTAAAGTACTATAAGTTGGGCTGAAATGGCAGTGTAAGCATCAACTTCATGAAGAACCATAGACTTCTTCAACTGCATTCTCTCATTACGTCTCTGATAGTTGTTACTTGCCAGAACTTCAAGCAACTCATAAGCTTCTTCAGGTGTCTTGTTTTGCAATTCTCCTCCCGATGTTGCATCCACTATGATTTGCACATTAACCATCAACCCATTGTAGAATGTTTGGACTTGCATCCAAACTGGCAAACCATGGTGTGGACACTTTCTCAGTAGTTCCTTATATCTTTCCCAAGCTTCATAAAGGGACTCAGTCTCTTCCTATAGAAACGATGTGATATATCATTTCTCATCTTTGCAGATTTCGTTGAAGGGAAGTATTTAGTGAGGAACTTCTAGGCCAATTCATTCCAGGTTGTGATTGTTCCTGGTGGTAGTGCCATTAACCATCATTTTGATTTATCCCTTAATGAAAAAGGAAACAATCTTAATCTGATGGCATCATCTGACACTCCATTTGATTCGAAAGTATCGTAGATCTCTAAGAAATTTGCAATATGTGAATTTGGATCTTCCTTCAGATCTCCCTTAAACTGAACTGACTGTTGGATTATCTGGATGATTGCCGACTTTATTTCGAAAGTATTGGCTTGCACTGGTGGCCTAGTTATACTTGGACCACTGCCATCAACCATGGGTACTGAAAATTCCCTCAATGTTCTATTCTCCGCCATCTCAATGACTATTGCCTCTCTTTCTCTTCTTTCTCTGCTAAGTCTTCTTGCGGTTCTTTAAATCTTTGGATCAATAGGAACCACTGGATAACGTCTATGTTAGGAAATGATCCATTGAAGTAGAGGAAAACAAAAATAATAATAACATGGATCGTTCCATAGAACCAAGATCAGGATACAAACTTACAATTTATATCAAAATAAGAATCTGTAGAAAATCAGTTTAGAGTTTAAGAAATCATACGCACGTTTGGAGGCTCCTCCAACTTTGTCTCTGAACGTATTTTGCTACCGATCCAAGTGTAGGATCAAACCGATGTAGTCCACACGAAGATAATCGCAAGGAACTAAAGAGGGATTTGCTAGATCCTCTTTAGCCTTAAGAACCAAGAATCAAAAATCAAAGAAAACTTTGACTCTTAGCAAAAGCAAAAACCTGGCGTGAGAGTGTTTAGGGGCTGGAAAGTTTTTCTCTCAAATGAAAAATGATATAATGAAAAATATTCCCCTATCTCTCATGTAAACTTAAGTTTATAAAGTCAAGTTTAATTGCCCTATTCCCATATGGAATAGGCTTGGGCTCCAACCCAAACACCCCTTGTATCCAAACACTCCCATTTAGATATTAATTTTAGTTCATCATTATCTCAATTAAAATCAATTAATATATGTTTAATATATATTAACATTTAACAATAATGATAACTTATTTAAATATATGCGAACACATATTAAATGTAATCTCACTTATAAATTAAATAAAGGCTACGACCTCAGCAAATTTAATTGCACTGTAAAATTACCAAAATACCCTTTTTCCTAAAAAGATGAAAACGCCCCTCTTACTTCCTAAGTCTAAATTATCTTCTATATGTGTGACCCATAGGCTTCTCATCATACCGGTAGTGTATAGTATCTCGATTAACACCAATTAATCGTCTCACTAAACACAGACCAAGATTGGCCCCTAGCAAGGCATCATAGCCACCCGGTAGATTCAGATTCAGCAAAGTAGCTACCTGTCAACGATATAGTTATTGGACAATTCGATCCTTTCATCATCCGTTATCTCAACGAGACCGAGGCATAGAAATAGTGTCAACCTTCGGTCACTCTCGATATTGTGTATTCAGTTACTGGACCCATGACCTGTATTATAAATTGGATAGAGCAACAACTCAATCCCACTGTGGCCATAGTTTTAGTGTCATTGCCATTTACTAAATTGCGCCGTGAGATAACTTCTTCCGTACTCGAGGTGATGAATCCTCTGTCTATCCACCATAGTCTTGATACACTCCTTGATGTATCCAATCACTACCGTATTGCCAACTCTGAATAGAACTACGTTAAGCTAGTGTCAAACTACACCAATCGGTGCACAAGGCGCTCTGGTGATCTCAGGTCTAAGGATCACATGCACCACCATTCGTTACAGGATTTGTTCCATAGACACTCGGGTTACCATCCATATGGAATCCTATGGTGGGTCAATCCAATGAACTTGCCTATAGCAGGCACCCATGTGTTGCACCAGGTTGTCACCAAACAACCTTGACAAGTGAGATCAGTCACTGCCTTTCAACAAGGTCGTTCAACACTATGATAGCCTTACCGTATTATCTGTGCCCTTACTTTAGAATAATACTGGGGCTACGGACGTTTCTAGAATGGCCACCATATGTGCTCATAGGCTTCTCACTATCAAGATTTGAAACACTTGATACCCTCGTCATGGTTCTACCATTCTAAGGAAATATATCAATACATATTGCAATAATATTGATTTACGCGATATAGAATAAAATGCCTTTTATTATTGATTAGTGAACATTATTACAAATAGTCAATTCTACAATAATTGATTGGCTCTAAGGCATATACTCTAACAATCTCCAACTTGCACTATAGCTAATCATTCATGCACTCAACATTGAATGACCCAAGTTCCCATCATGCTTCTACTACAACAGAAACTTCAATTTTGGGTTAGTAGGTATTCTCCAAATCTGCACATTCCTTTTCTAATTGATCTCTTAGATCAGATTGAATCAACTAAGTATGCGTTTGGATTATTGGTGAGACCGTGATTCCCCAGCCATAACAATGGCTCCATTGTTATCGCAATAGAACTATACTGGATAAGCAATGCTTGAAACCACATCAAGTTCAGTAATGAACTTCCTGATCCAAACTGCCTACACGGCAGCAAAAATGCGATATACTTAGCATCAATTGTAGAATTCATTATAGTACACTGATTCGAGCTCTTCCAGCTTACTGCAGTTACATTGAGACAAAATGTGTAATCCCAAATTACGAACTATAATCATCTTTTTTTGTTTGGAAATAGCATCACTTTATTCTCTTACAGTGAGCTCATCTTCCCCTCCATAAACCAAGAACATATCCTTAGTCCTCTTCAAGTACTTAAGAATATTCTTGACAGCCATCCAGTGATGCTCACCTAGATCCAATTGATATCTACTACAAGTGCTTAAAGCACATGAGACATCAATCTGAGTACATAGCATGGCATACATGATGGATCCAATTGTTGATGCATATGGGATCCTCTTCATCCTATCTCTCTCATCTTGTGTTCTAGGACACAATTCCTTAGAGAGACAAACACCATGTGACATCGAAAGAAATCCCTTCTTGGATTCTTCCATACTGAATCTTTTCAGTACGTTGTCAATATATGCACTATGACTTAGGCCAAGCAACCTACACGATCTATCATGATAGATCTTTATTCCAAGAATGTAGGCTGCTTCCCCTAAGTCCTTCATGGAGAAGCACTTGGATAACCAATTCTTTACCGACTACAAGTTTGGTATATCATTCCCGATCAAAAGTATGTCATCGACATACAACACTAGAAATGCCACTACGCTCCCAGCCACTTTCTTGTAAACACAAGGCTCATCTTCGTTCTTGATAAAACCAAATTCTTTTACGGCTTCATCAAAATGAATGTTCTAGCTCCTTGAAGTTTGCTTGAGTCCATAAATGGATCTCTGCAACTTGCATACCCTATCAACTTGCCCATCAAGAACGAAACCATCAGGTTGTGTCATATACACATTCTTTTCAAGGTGTCTGTTCAGGAAAGCTGTTTTGACATCCATTTGCCAAATCTCATAGTCATGATATGCAGCAATTGCAAGCACAATCCGGATGGATTTAATCATGGCAACCGGCAAAAAGGTTTCTTCGTAGTCAATACCATGAATTTGTTTGAAACCTTTGGCAACCAGTCATGCTTTATAAGTATGCACCTTGCCATCCATGTCAGTCTTCTTCTTGAATACCCATTTACACCTTATGGGTTTTACCCCTTTAGGTGGTTCCACCAGAGACCACACTTGGTTTTGGTTCATGGAGTCTATCTCAGATTTCATGGCTTCAAGCCATTTAACGGAATCTGGATCCGATATAGCGTCTTCGTAGGTTCTGGGTTGATCGTCTTGGCAAACTAGTACATCACCATGTTGAGTCATAAGATAACCGTATCTCTTGGGCTCATGGCATACTCTCCCAGATCTACGTAGCTCCTGTGCTATCTAAGGTGGTTCACTTTGATCCACAAGTTGTCTAGTAACCTCCTCTTGATGCTCAACCACTTCCTATGGCATATCATCCCGTCCTTCGTCTAGTATATCTTATGGTTCTAGAACTTCATCAAGTTCTACTTTTCTCCCACAATACTTCTTAGAAAAAATTCTTGTTCTAGGAAGACACCAGAACAAGTAGCAAAAATTTTGGGCTCTTCTGCGTGGTAGAAATAGTATCCTTTGGTCTCCTTTGGATACCACAAATATACATTTACAAGATTTTGGGCCCAGCTTGCTTGAAGTCAATTTCTTAACATAAGCTTCGCAACCCCAAATCCTTAGATAAGACAAGCTGGGCTTTCGCCCACTCCATAGCACATATGGAGTCTTATCTACAGACTTTGACACCACATGGTTCAAAACGTGAGTCGCAGTCTCTAGGGCATAACCCCAAACTAATGTAGTTATATCACTATGGACCTAACCATATCGAGTGAGGTCCTATTCCTCCTTTTTGACACTCCATTGTGTTGGAGTGTATAAGAAGGAGTGAGTTGTGATACTATCCCACATTCCTTCAGGTGTTTAGCTCAACTTGCCAAAGTTAGCATAATTGTCATTTTGAGATTATCCTTATTGTCTTTCTTAAAGAATATATTATTATGAAACAGTTCCATAAAGAATATTATTTACACTCAAGGACAATAATCCATTCGTAAACTAATACTCTCATTTGTCCTAAGTGGACACAGAAATATAATTTCTAGAAACTGAAGAAAAACCATAATAATCCACAAGTTCCAATAAATAAATCCATCGGCAAAATCAGCTAATAAGATCCTACAGCAAATGCAGCAGCACGTGCTTCATTTCCAACTGGTAGGTCCACCTCTCCTCGGCTAGCAATCTACTCTGCCGTAGTCCCTACACATCAATTAAATTTGAGAACCACATCTTGTGTTAATAACCCAAGATGTTAATGGGATAAGTTGATCTCAAAAACTTACCTGACGAAGAAGTAACATTCTTCTTCCTTTTTACTAAAAAAGCCTTGCAATGTTT